CTCAGGTTCTGCGTCGGCTTCGGCCTCCCACACCTTCACCCTTGACTCGGGGGCTTCTCGCTCCTTCTTTCGAGACCGCACCACACTCACGCCGCTTGGCCGGCCAGTTGCGGTCTCTCTGGCAGACCCCTCTGGGGGTCCTGTCCTTGCTCACTTCTCCACTGTCCTCCCGTGTTCGGCGGCCCCCTCTGGCACCCTGTCTGGTCTTTACCTCCCCTCGTTCTCTACGAACTTGGTGAGTGGTGCTGACCTACAGGATGCGGGGGTTCACCAGTTCACTCCTGCGAGTCAGCGGGTGACCCACTGCACGGACGCTCGGACTGGCCGACACCTGGCCACGTTTACCCGTCGGCCGGGGTCGAGCCTGTACACCCTGACCACTGCGTCTCCTCCAGTCACTACGTCTGGTCAGGTAGCTGCGTTGGGTCAGGTGTTTGCTGCAGCGTCCAGGTCTGGTCCTGAGTCTGCCCCCTGTTCGTGTCGCCTCCTGTCTCACGAGACTCTCCTCTGGCACCACCGCCTTGGTCACCCCTCCCTGCTTCGTCTCCGAGGCATGGCCTCCCGTGTCCTTGTCTCTGGTCTTCCCCGGTCCCTCCCTCCCCTTCCTCCGGGGCCTGGCCCTACCTGCGTCCCCTGTGTCGAGGGGCGGCAGCGGGCTGCCCCTCACTCCTCCGAGTTTCCTCCGACAGAGGCCCCGCTGCAGACGCTTCACATGGACGTGTGGGGCCCGGCCCGCGTCCGTGGACAGGGTCACGAGCGCTACTTCCTGCTGGTGGTTGACGACTACTCGCGTTACACCACAGTCTTCCCCTTGCGCAGCAAGGGTGATGTCACTGAGGTGTTGATCGACTGGATCCGCGCAGCTCGTCTCCAGCTCAGGCAGAGCTTCAGCTCGGACTTTCCTGTCCTGCGTCTGCACTCTGACAGAGGTGGAGAGTTCTCCTCTGGCCTTCTGCGAGCCTATTGTCGTGCACGAGGCATCCGCCAGACCTTCACGCTTCCGGACTCTCCACAGCAAAATGGGATTGCTGAGCGCCGCATTGGCATGGTCATGGACGTCGCCCGTACGTCCATGATGCATGCGGCTGCCCCCCATTTTCTGTGGCCGTTTGCGGTTCGGTACGCGGCGCATCAGATCAACCTTCACCCTAGGGTCTCCAGGCCGGAGACCTCCCCAGCTTTGCTGTGGACGGGGAAGGTTGGCGATGCGTCTGCGTTCCGTGTCTGGGGATCTCGGGCGTTTGTCCGCGACTTGTCTGCGGACAAGCTGTCCCCTCGTGCTGCTCCTTGCGTCTTCCTTGGCTTCCCCCCTGACGCGCCAGGGTGGCAGTTCTACCACCCCACCTCTCGCCGTGTTCTGTCCTCCCAGGACGTCACGTTTGACGAGTCGGTCCCCTACTACCGCCTCTTCCCCTACCGCACTCCGTCCCTCCCCCCACCACCGCTCTTCCTGGTGCCAGGTCCCCCCCCGGTAGACCCCCTCCCCCCTCAGGGTCCTGCCCCTTCAGGTGTGTCCCAGGTAGACGCAGTCGAGCCTGTCGAGGTTACTGGTGACTCTGGTGCTGCTGAGGGTGCTGAGCCTGGGGGTGCTGACTCTGGGGGTGCTGAGCGTGTGGGTGCTACGCCTGGGGGTGCTGAGCCTGAGGGTGCTACTACTGGGGGTGCTGAGCCTGGGGGTACTGAGCCTGGAGGTGCTACTACTGGGGGTGCTCAGCCTGGGGGTGCTGAGCCTGGGGGTGCTGAGCCTGGGGGTGCTACGCCTGGAGGTGCTGAGCCTGGGGGTGCGGAGCCTGAGGGAGCTGGGCCTGCTTGTGTGGCGTCTGGCGGTGCTGAGCCTGGAGGTTCTCTGGGTGCTTCGTCTCGGCGGGAGCCACTCTCTCCACAGGAGCTGCGCGAGTGGTTTGCCCGGCGCTGGAGGCGTGCTGCTGGAGCTGGAGGTTCTTCGACTGCTGAGGGTGCTGGTGCCGCGGGTCCCGGAGGTGCTCGTACTGGGAGTACTGGAGCTGCTGGGCCTGCGGGTACGACTGGAGCTGGAGCTGCTGAGGGTGTTGACGCTGAGGCTACTGCTGTCGGTCCTGGAGGCGGTCCTGCTGGGGGTGCTACTGGTGCTGCTGGAGGTACTGGAGCTGGAGGTGCTGCTGGCGATGGTGCAGCCGCTGGGGGTACTGGTGCTGTCCCTGCTGTGTCTGGAGTCGCCGCGCGGCCTCGGCCGTACTTCGTTCCGCTCCTTCAGCAGGTTCTTGGTCTCCCGCCTTCTACTGGTCCTCCTCCTCCCTTAGAGTGTCCACAGCCTGTCCCGTCACAGTTACAGTTACAGCCGGCCTCCCCACTGCCCGCTCCTTCTCCCTACACTGGTCCTACTGGAGGTCTTGCTGAGCGTCGCGAGCCTGCGTCGCGTCCTGCGTCGCCTGTCCGTACTGCTCGCGCTAGTGGTCGTGGTTCGCGTCAGCGTCCTCCTCCTGTCCCTGGCACGCACCGGATGTCTCTGCGTCCGTCCACTGCTCCTCTGCGTGCCCCTTTGCCTTCTCCTCCTGAGTCCTCTCTTCCTGCTCTTCCCGACCCGGAGTCGGACTCTCTTCGTGCTGCCAGTCCTACTGTCACGCGTCTCCTTGCTACTGTCGTCACTGACCCTTCCTTTGCGTCCACTGCTGCGTCTGCCCTAGTTGCTGAGCTCGTCGACTTTGCTGCTCGCTGTCGTCTAGACTACGCTGCTTGTCTTGTCGCTGAGTCTGAGTCTGTCTGTCCTCCGTCCGTCGGGGGTGAGTGTGCCCTTGGCACGGACGTCCTTGAGGACAGGCAGGAGGAGTTCCAGTGTTTGGCTGCTGCTTCACCTCATCTCGTGTCCGTACTGCTTACCCCTGAGGGAGACCCGGATGCACTTGACATCCCGACTCCGCGCTCTTACGCGGAGGCGATAGAGGGTCCCTACTCCTCTCAGTGGCAGGCAGCTATGGACACAGAGATGGCTTCCTGGAAGTCCACAGGCACCTACGTTGACGAGGTTCCCCCGCCTGGGGCGAACATCGTCAGTGGCATGTGGATTTTCAGGGTGAAGCGGCCGCCGGGTTCTCCGCCTGTCTTCAAGGCGCGTTACGTGGCTCGTGGCTTCAGTCAGCGGCAGGGAGTTGACTACTTTCAGACCTTCTCTCCCACCCCGAAGATGACCACTCTTCGGGTACTACTGCACAGAGCTGCTCACCGCGACTACGAGCTGCACTCTCTTGACTTCAGCACTGCTTTCTTGTAGGGCAGCCTGCACGAGGAGATCTGGCTGCGTCGCCCACCTGGCTTCACTGGGTCTTTTCCTCCTGGCACCCAGTGGAGCCTCCGGCGGCCAGTCTACGGTCTCCGCCAGGCACCGCGTGAGTGGCACGACACACTGAGGACCACACTTGCGGCTCTTGGGTTTGCTTCCTCTACTGCCGACCCGTCGCTGTTTCTGCGCACCGACACTTCTTTGCCGCCGTTCTACATCCTCGTGTACGTCGACGACTTGGTCTTTGCCACAGCTCACACTGCTGGACTCGCCCACGTGAAGTCCGAGCTGCAGAAGAGACACACGTGCACAGACCTGGGTGAACTGCGCAGCTACCTTGGCTTGCAGATCACCCGGGACAGAGCACGCCGCACCATTACCCTGACTCAGTCACACATGGTGCAGCAGGTCCTTCAGCGCTTCGGCTTCACGTACTCCTCGCCTCAGGCCACTCCTCTGCCTACTCGCCACTCGCTCTCAGCTCTGCCTTCGGATGAGTCCGTAGAGTCGAGTGGCCCGTACCCAGAGCTTGTTGGCTGCCTCATGTACCTGATGACCTGCACACGACCTGACCTTGCATACCCTCTTAGCATTCTCGCACGCTATGTTGCTCCTGGGAGACACAGACCGGAGCACATGGCTGCAGCAAAGAGGGTGTTGCGCTACTTGTGCAGTACGTCGGGCATGGGGCTTGTGCTTGGAGGGCAGAGTCCAGTGGTCCTCACTGGGCACGCAGACGCTTCTTGGGCTGACGACCAGGCTACGCAGCGGTCGTCACAGGGTTACACCTTCAGCCTTGGTTCCGGCTCTGTTTCGTGGCGGGCTACCCGCTCGTCTTCTGTTCTCGGCTCCAGTTGTGAGGCTGAGATCTACGCCGGGGCCATGGCTGCACAGGAGCTTCGCTGGCTCACCTACCTGCTGACTGACCTCGGAGAGCCGCCTCGTTCTCCTCCAGTGCTGTACGTAGACAACAAGGCCATGCTGGCCTTGTGTCGAGAGCAGAGACTGGAGCACAGAACGAAGCACATTGCTCTCCGCTACTTCCTTGCTCGTGAGCTACAGCAGCGTGGTCAGTTGCGGCTTGCGTACGTGGCCTCTCAGGCCAACACTGCTGATATCTTCACCAAGGCACTTGCGCCTTGTGATCATCAGCGTTTCTGTACTCAGCTGGGCCTTGTGCCTACCTTGCCTCACTTGCTCACCCCTTGACCTTGTTTGTACTGTTGCATATATATATACACCTGCTCTTGCTTGTCTAGCCTTATATATATGTAATCCTGCATGTGAACTGGCCTTGTGGCCTTGAACTTGTGCTCGGAATGTGTGGTGACTTTGTGATCCACCCTGAGCTTGCTTTGCTTTGCTTGACTGGTCTTGTGACCCCTTGTTCTCCCCCACTTTGCCTATGGGGGTGTGTCAGATTTATATGACAGAGCTACTGTAGGCTATAGTGGGGTAGCACATATGGGGTACAGTTTTCTAGGGTTTACATTTGTACCCAACTTTCCCTTAGTCATTCCCCATTCCTCGTTTCTTCTCAGAGCTCGAGGATTGTAAGGCTGTTGTGCTTATTCATTTGGCCACTCCTTTGAGCCCCACAACATCCACGGGCGATTGAGTTTTATTGCGACGATACAACCAGCAACAGCGAAAGAGAACATGGCACCGACTACACAGCCTGCTCCCATAATCCATCGTGCTGCCTCCACCCTTCTCCTCATGTTACACGCGTCCAGGTCCCTGCTTACTTCGCTGCCGGCTTGACAATGAAATCCTTCTTGAAGGCTGCCATTTTCTGCGAATGCTTGCTGGCGCGAGTTGCCGCTCCGTCTGCACGCAGACTCCCCTTGTGCTTGGCAGATGCAACGTGAGCCACTGCCTGCTCAAACCGATTCCCCTGCGCCTTCTCGCACACGGTCTGCACACACACCCATTCCTCCCGCATCCCCCCCGTGGAGGTGAGAACAACTGCGGGGTCCTTCAGGATACGTTTCAGGAAGGTGGTGGCTTTCAGGGATGCAGCTGCGAGGAGAGGTAAGGAATAAACCGTCAGTATGGGGTAAGAGAAGCGGATCAAGCGGTAAGTACTGCAAAGGGAAGGGACGCGGAGCAGCTCGACGAGTACCGTTCATGTCATGAACCTTTTTAACTGTCAGGTTCCAGTTGGTGAAAGTCTCCTGCCTTGATGTGACATAGTGATCGTGGTAACGGGACATATGCGGACCGCTGCAAAACTCGCAGATGAGTGAGGGGTAATGGAGCAGGAAGCGCTTCTTCGTCGTCGGTTCCTCCACGAAATACCTCCAGCGATACTCATCGTCAGCATGAGGAGCCACCAGCCCGCGAATACGGTCAGTATCAAGTCCTGAGACCGGATCCAGCGTACGGTGAAAGCCAAAACCACTGGCGAACGCGCTCCTGCCGCGTTTGACGAGCTTTGACACAACCAGCAAGTGGCGGATAAGCTCCGCGGTGATCTCGGCCGGCACACCCTTGACCACCACCTCCAGCGCCGACGGGTTCAGAACACGTTTACGGAGGAAACGCGCATCTTCAGGAAACTGCCAGGTAAGGTCGATGATGTCCCCATTAACACATTCGTGTTTGATGACTTGGTTCCACACGAAGTTCGCGTCCCTGACATGATTAAACGTGACTTGCAGCCGACCGTAGCGCGTGCCAGAAAAGAAGGTCGGCGTTAAGTCCTGGTAGGTCGTTGTCTGCAGCACATCCGGAGTTAACTGGTCCTTCCAGTCATCCAGCAGCGCAGCGATCGTCATAGCAGCTCGCTTGACTTCTACTTTCCTGAGGATCGGCACCAGTAAGGTTAGTGAGAAACGTTTCAGGGCCAAAGCACTGGAAAGCGAGGCAGGCTCCAGGTGTTCATCTGAGTCATCGCTCAGATACCCATCTTCGTCATCCTCAGGGGCCGGATCAGACAGGTCCTCTTCAACCTCCTCCTTTTTGTCCGTATCAGCAGCACCTTCTTCCGCCAGCTCTTGATCTTGTCCTTCCACTCCAATCACGTCTGCAGCAGCATCTTCGCCAGAGCCTGCAGCATCGTCCGTCTTTTTTTGCAGATCAAGCAGGTCTTCAAAGGGGCCAATCACGGCAGGCGACGCTGATGGAGTAGACCGGCTCTTGTCAGCATCATCCAGCACAGGTACGTCAGGTACATTCGTTTCCGTCCCCTTCCCGCGATCACCTTCCTCCGCCTTCTTGCCAGCTTTGTTGCTACGCGGCTTCGCCATTGTGCGATGATGAGGGAGGCTTGACAGCCAGAGAGTGGCTGTAGAACAAGCTGATCTGAGCACCAATAACTCCATGCTTTTATATCTCCTGTGCTTAAAAGCGAAGCGTTGCAGGTCCAGGCTCGAGGCAACTTGTGTGACCTCCGGGATTAGCAAACTTCCTCGAGAAAGGGAGTCCTTGGGAAATGCCGAGTCGTTTGTTGATATAACAATGATGTCGTTGCGAAATGAAGGTTGTGAAAACGTAGACGCTTGGTAGAATCCATGGAGCAGCTTGTAACCTTGGTAGTATCCATGACACTTTATCTTGCATGATGTTAAGTGAAGCGGAGACGATAGCCTGGAACTCAAGAAAAGGGTTTTTAGGTTCCCGTATTGAACACTAAAAGAACACCATTGTAAAGATCTTGTAACCGCGCATCGTCCGATGACTTCAATGTTGACATCAGGTAAGAAATTGATGGACATTGGTCCTGTCAAAGCTCTCCGCCATGGCCATGGCGTCATTGTCATTCATGGGGTTGGGTCTGACACAAGCAGCGGGTAAAAAAAAAAATGTACATTTCCGTCGTGACACCGCTTCTGCGCCCTACTTCTTGTCGCTGATCGTGAAAGTTTCGTGCGGCACTGCCAGATGCTCACACACGCCACGCCAACCAACAGTTTCTGCCTGCTGCCAGCTCAGCTGCGTGGCACTTGGCCCACCTGGCATTGTACGTGACAACAACCAGATCGGGTGAATGATCACATCGCTTGAAACGCAAATCCAAAATTGACAAAATCGGCACACAGGCGAGAAAATGGGTACAGAACGGTAATCACACACACGACGAAACGAAATCTAATCAGCAGAAACAACCCATGCACTGCACGTGACAAAACAACCAAGGCAATGCACGAGCACGTTGCCTGATGCAAACCCGCCGATCCTGACTGGTTCGTACCGCACAGTTGAGTTGGTATGCTGTAACCAGCTTCAATGCTATTATAAATATGCTTTTACGATACTGCATCATCATCTTAAAATTTGAGGGTAACTCTGACAGTTGAGACAAAAAAAGTTGTGCTTGTCTGAATTTTCAGACTAAAATTTTGAGGCACCTCTGATAGACAGAGTTCCAGGAGGGGTGTACTCTGAGGCGTCAGACTACCTCAAAACGAATCTAGGGGCCTGCCTACAGTATTGTCCCGAACATAACACCCTAGGGTATAGCTAAAAATACAGAGAAAAAATGGGGGGGTCTCCTCAAAGGAAAAAGCTACATAATACCTGGGTGGATATATATGGTATATTTTAGTGTATGAGCTTTTTTTTAATTGGACAACTTGAGTGTTTCCTGTTGGGCTGAGAAAGCCCTTAGGATCTTTGCAGAACTAAACTCTGAGTAGGACAATGTAATAGCAGAAGCGTTTAATGAGAAGTTTGTGAACCACCTTTCGCTAGTATGTGAGGGCAAAGTTGATTGATTAAAGTGAGGAAAGTTACGAATGAGAATGATTGCATTGAGCAGCATAAGGAGTACAAGTACCAAACCCTAAAGTGTTGTACCCCATATAAGCTACCCCACTACAGCCTACACAGACTATAGCATATAAGTTTGACACACCCCCATAGGCAAAGTGGGGGAGAACAAGGGGTCACAAGACCAGTCAAGCAAAGCAAGGCAAAGCAAGCTCAGGGTGGATCACAACGTCACCACACATTCTGAGCACAAGTTCAAGGCCACAAGGCCAGTTCACATGCATGATTACATATATATATAAAGCTAAACAAGCAAGAGCAGGTATATATATATGTAACAGTACAAGCAAGGTCAAGAAGTGAGCAAGTGAGGCAAGGTAGGCAATAGACCTAGCAGAGTACAGAAGCGCTGATGATCACAAGGCGCGAGTGCCTTGGTGAAGATATCAGCAGTGTTGGCCTGAGAGGCCACGTAAGCAAGTCGCAGCTAACCACGCTACTGCAGCTCACGAGCAAGGAAGTAGCGAAGAGCAATGTGCTTCGTTCTGTGCTCCAGTCTGTGCTCACGACACAAGGCCAGCATGGCCTTGTTGTCTACGTACAGAACTGGAGGAGAACGAGGCGGCTCTCCGAGGGCGATCAGCAGGTAGGTGAGCCAGCGTAACTCCTGTGCAGCCATGGCCCCTGCGTAGATCTCAGCCTCACAGCTGGAGCTGAGAACAGAAGACGAGCGGGTAGACCGCCACGAAACAGAACCGGAACCAAGGCTGAAGGTGTAACCCTGTGACGACCGCTGCGTAGCCAGGTCGTCAACCCAAGACGCGTCTGCGTGACCAGTGAGGACCACTGTACTCCGCCCTCCAAGCACTAGCCCCATGCCCGACGTACTGCACAAGTAGCGCAACACCCTCTTCGCTGCAGCCATGTGCTCAGGGAGGTGTCTCTCAGGAGCAACATAGCGTGCAATAATGCTAAGAGGGTATGCAAGGTCAGGTCGTGTGCAGGTCATCAGGTACATGAGGCAGCCAACAAGCTCTGGGTACGGGCCACTCGACTCTACGGACTCATCCGAAGGCAGAGCTGAGAGCGAGTGGCGAGTAGACAGAGGAGTGGCCTGAGGCGAGGAGTACGTGAAGCCGAAGCGCTGAAGGACCTGCTGCACCATGTGTGACTGAGTCAGGGTAATGGTGCGCTGTGCTCTGTCCCGGGTGATCTGCAAGCCAAGGTAGCTGCGCAGTTCACCCAGGTCTGTGCACGTGTGTCTCTTCTGCAGCTCGGACTTCACGTAGGCGAGTCCAGCAGTGTCAGCTGTGGCAAATACCAAGTCGTCGACGTACACGAGGATGTAGAACGGCGGCAAAGAAGTGTCGGTGCGCAGAAACAGCGACGGGTCGGCAGTAGAAGGCGCAAACCCAAGAGCCGCAAGTGTAGTCCTCAGTGTGTCGTGCCACTCACGAGGTGCCTGGCGGAGACCGTAGACTGGCCGCCGGAGGCTCCACTGGGTGCCAGGAGGAAAAGACCCAGTGAAGCCAGGTGGGCGGCGCAGCCAGATCTCCTCGTGCAGGCTGCCCTGCAAGAAAGCAGTGCTGAAGTCAAGAGAGTGAAGCTCCTAGTCACGGTGAGCGGCTATGTGCAGCAGCACCTGAAGAGTGGTCATCTTCGGGGTGGGAGAGAAGGTCTGAAAGCAGTCAACTCCCTGCCGCTGACTGAAGCCACGAGCCACGTAACGCGCCTTGAAGACAGGCGGATAACCCGGCGGCCGCTTCACCCTGAAAATCCACATGCCACTGACGATGTTCGCCCCAGGCGGGGGAACCTCGTCAACGTAGGTGCCTGTGGACTTCCAGGAAGCCATCTCGGCGTCCATGGCTGCCTGCCACCGAGAGGAGTAGGGACCCTCTATCGCCTCTGCGGAAGAGCGTGGAGTCGGGATGTCTGGTGCATCCGGGTCTCCCTCAGGGGCAAGTAGCATGGACACGAGATGGGGTGAAGCAGCCGCAAGACACTGGAACTCCTCCTGCCTGTCCTCAAGGACGTCCGTGCCAAGAGCACACTCACCCCCGACGGACGGAGGACAGACAGACTCAGACTCAGCGACAAGACTAGCAGCGTAGTCTAGGCGACAGCGAGCAGCGAAGTCGACAAGCTCAGCAACTAGGGCAGACGCAGCAGTGGACTCAAAGGAAGGGTCAGTGACGACAGTAGCAAGGAGACGCGTGACAGTAGGACTGGCAGCACGAAGGGAGTCCGACTCCGGGTCAGCAAGGGCAGGAAGAGAGGACTCAGGAGGAGAAGGCAAAGGGGCACGCAGAGGAGCAGTGGACGGACGCAGAGACATCCGGTGGGTGCCGGGGACAGGGGGAGGACGCTGACGTGAACCACGACCACTAGTGCGAGCAGCACGAACAGGCGACGCAGGACGAGACGCAGGCTCACGACGCTCAACAAGACCGCCAGTAGGACCAGTGTAAGGAGAAGGAGCAGGCAGAGGGGAGGCGGGCTGTAACTGTGACTCGGACTGGACAGGCGGCGGACACTCTAAGAGAGGAGCAAGACTAGTAGAGGGCGGAAGACCAAGAACCTGCTCAAGGAGCGGAACAAAGTACGGCCGCGGCCGTGTAGCACCCCCAGAACCAGGAGGAACAGCACCAGCACCCCCAACGGCAGCACCAGCTCCAGCAGCACCCCCAGCTCCAGCAGCTCCAACACCAGCACCCTCAGAAGCACCAGTACCAGCAGCACCTCCAGCGCCAGCACCTCCAGCAGACCCAGCTCCAACCGGACCACCAGAAGACTCAGCAGCTCCAGCTCCAGCACCTCCAGAAGTACCTACTCCAGCAGCACCGCCAGCTGCAGCACAAGGAGCACCCCCAGGCCAAGCAGCTCCAGTACCTCCAGTACGAGCACCTCCGGGACCCGCGGCACCAGCACCCTCAGCAGCAGGAGAACCTCCAACACCAGTAGCACCTCCAGCTCCAGCAGCACGGCTCCAGCGCCGAGCAAATCCCTCGCGAAGCTCCAGTGGAGAGAGTGGCTCCCGCCGGGACGAAGCACCCGAAGAACCTCCAGGTCCAGCACCACAAGACGTCACCCGAGCAGGCCCAGCTCCCTCAGGCTCCGCACCCCCTGGCTCAACACCCCCAGGCTTAGCACCCCCAGGCGTAGCACCCCCAGGCTCAGCACCCCCAGGCTCAGCACCCCCAGACTCAGCACCCCCAGGCTCAGCACCCCCAGACCCCGCACCCGCAGGCTCAGCACCTTGAGCAGCACCAGAGTCAACAGCTACCTCGACAAGCTCGACTGCGTCTACCTGGGACACACCTGAGGGGGCAGGACCCTGAGGGGGGAGGGGGTCTACCGGAGGGGGACCTGGCGTAAGGAAGAGCGGCGGGGGGGGGAGGGACAGAGTGCGGTAGGGGAAGAGTCGGTAGAAGGGAACCGACTCGTCGAACGTGACGTCCTGGGAGGACAGAACACGGCGCGAGGTGGGGTGGTAAAACTGCCAGCCTGGCGCGTCAGGGGGGAAGCCAAGGAAGAC